AAGCTCACACGTCAAAAGCACCCCAAGGGTTTGGCCTAGAGATAAAAACAATCATTTCACTAGCGAGCGGGGAAAAACTAAAACATTCACTCGCCTGTCTGCCTTAATTGAAAGGATCCCTATCTCCAAGGAGAGACCTAAGACTGATTTCACAACTGATACCAACTCAAAGGTGTCATAATCTAGTTCAATAAAAGGTTACTTGTGCTACTCCAGTATTAAGTCAAGGTTACCTGCCTGAAAACATAGGATGCCAGCGTTATATTGTTTGATCTCCTTGCATATGAGCCGCTTCCTGCGACCCCACTTCAAGAATTCTCTTGGAACTTGAGAGTACAAGTCTGGATGCTTTAAGGCATTCTCTACACCAAGTATATTATACGAAACCAACACAAGTCTATCTGTGAAAGAAAGCAAACCAATGAAAGAGTTCAAATTTATTGCAAGTGAAACGTTAAAAACAAACAGAAATACGGATATGCAATGGTAAAACCGATACCTGCAAAAGCGGCGGGATCATGAGAACTTGAGACCCAACTGCGATTGCTCTCTAAAGTAATCGGCTCTCTGCTTCGGTACCGATTTCTCCTTCGCCTTCGAGACGACGAGGAATTAATTGGCGCAAACCTATTCACAGTCGGAAAATCGAGATGGGGTTGTAGAGTTAGGGTTTGCGCGTCTGATACAACTTTACGCTTCTTTGATCGATGTTCGTGAAGGCAGTGTTCTGCAGATTCATCAGAACGCTTGTATTTGGACTGCTCCTCATTTGGAGCTTGGGGCTTGCCTTCTCTCATGTTAGCCGACTCCGAGACCGGACAGCGTACTTCAGGGTATCTCAATGGGCAGTGCCGGCGGAAACAGCTACTTCCGGCCAGACAGCGGGGCTCTAGTGTTCTGGGGAAAAGTTATTGACTTGAGTCATGGATGGAGGTGTGAAGCACCATTGTAGGTCGTTCTAGGTTGCAGCTCTTCCTCTTGTCCATTGTTCATAGTGTGGCTTGTGAGTTGTGACTCTAAGCCCGAGCCAAACTGCTCCGAATTAGCTTGACATTCAGTTTGAGAAAAAATCGTTAAAAACTCAATTCTTTTTTTTTTTTACTAACGAGCCAAGTCTAACCTAAGTTTTGTTCGGCTTGCGAAACTCGCGAGCTAGTTTTACTAGTTGGCTTGTTGAGGTTAACTCGTGGAGTGACTCGTTAAGAAGTCATGAGATGTCTCAACACAGTGGTTAGAGTGTCAACTCGATTACCAACCTATGAGTGAATCAAACTACATCTTATCAGTTGGAGTTTGATAATTCATATGATAATTAAATTTTATATCTCACCCTATATGAAGTTGAACACGTTGAGTATGTGAGAAAATATGTCTTATTTTTTAACTTCAAAAAGAAATTATGTATAGTAGATTGCAGACTATCTTGCTAACAGAGGCCATCTTGTGCCTTTGGAATTGTTTTCTTTTCCGTTGACGGATCCATCTGTTTGTAATTGGGTTAGGTACGATGTTCATGGGATCTCCGAATCCGGGGTGATTTTGAATGAAAGATAGGAAGCAATTGCATCCATTTAATAATAATAAAAAATTATGTGTTGTAGATTGCTTCGGTTCTATGAAATAACATGATTTGTAGTAGTTAAAATTTATTAACTAAATAATATGATACCAAACGAGTATATCATTGGATTACTTAATGTTGAACATTTGACTATTATTATTTTTTTCATCATGACATTAATCACATGTATCATACATGACATAAAAAATGAATCAAATATGAGTCAAGATTTTAGGTAACAAGGCTAACTCGGGCTCGACATGGCTTGTTAATAAACAAAAAAAGTCGGTGAATGTCAATTTATTATCTTACTTACATATGACAGTTAGGGATGCAAATGAGCCGAGTCGAGTTTTACCCCAGCTTGAGCTCGGCTCGTTAATAAACGAGTCAAACTCGAGCTAGAGCTAGCTTGTTTATTAAAATCTTAACTTTTATTTTGAACTTCATTTTGTATATCATGATACATATGATTTATTTTGTTAGCTAATCTCATATTATACTTTGTTGATATCATATATCATTTAGTTAATAAATTTACCTACTCCAAATCATGTTATTTTATAGTTTCGAAGCAATCTATGATGCATAATGTCTTTTCAAAGTAGAAAATAAGATATATTTGCTCACATACTTAACGTGTTAAACTTTATATATGGTGAGATATATAATTTAACAAGCGTATGAATTAAAATCATAAGATATAGATTGATTCGTCCATAAGTTGGTAATTGAGTTTGCTCTCTAGCTACATGTCAAGACATATCATGAGCTCTAAACGAGCCAGCTCACGAGTTCAACTCAACAAGCCATCGAGTCGAGCTAGCTCGCGAGCTTTACGAGCTGAACAAAGGTGAGCTCGTGTTTGGCTCGTTTATTAACGAGTTGAGTTTCGAACGAGCTTTTCTTGAATCGAACGCCGAGCCGCTCGCGAGCAGCTCGGCTCATTTGCAGCCCTAATGACAGTTATGTAGGGATGAGTCATTCCCCAACAATGCTAGAAAATGATCCTAATGTAACTTTAAGGTAGCTTCTTATACTGTGCTTCTTTTGTTGAGTTCTTAGAGAAGTAACAAATGGACCATATTCATCAAAATAATTGGGACTTAAAATTGGTATAAACCAGAAGATTTCATTCTTTTTTAGAAAGAATGATATATTTTCCATTCTCAAAAGATCACACAAAAATCAATCAGCAATGATATATTCGATATTTACTTACTTTTTGGATAATAAAGAAATTGAAACAAAAGTTAGCAACCCTAAGTAATAATTGTATTCATTTCGTTAACTTCAACCAAATGTCTTCATTGCCCTCAACATAACACAGGAAAACATATCCCACCCTCTCCTAAGAATGGGCATCGGTCGACTCGTTCTAAAATAGAATCGAAGTGAGATAAGACCAGATCAAAACTAAAGGAAAATTAAGGACCATAATCGAACCAAAAACATATTTGATTCACTAGGTTGGATTTGGTCGGGTCCAAAAGTAATTTCAATCCACTTTTCTTCCATACTTAGACTAATTTTAGGATAGAAACATAAGCGAAATATATTTGATCCAATTCGATTCAATCTAAATATCGATTAAGTACAAATTTGATCTAGACCCGTATCAGCTTTTTTTCATCAAAGTCAGCTTCAATTAGTGAATGCCTGAACAAAAATACATAAAATGTTCAGCCAGAGCTGCTCCTGTATAAGGAGCAAGGTATTGTAATGTAGTCGGAGAATCAGCCGTTTCGACTACTACAATAGTGTACTCCATTGCCCCTCCAATTGTATTATATGAATGAGGAGGAATCCCTCATTGTACCATCAAGTACCATGTTGATGTGACTTGAATCGGACTATCAGCCGCTACAACTGGTAGTCGGGGGTCTCGCTGCCCGGTCAGCGAGTGGGGTCCAGGGGCAACGCCCCCCGCCTGCGGTGTATGGGCTCAATGTTATTTGGTTCGGATTCTGAGCCTGGTCTGTAACCGTTTCCTTTGCCAGATTGGATTAGGTTTAGACCCACATGGAGAAGTACTATAAATACTTCTCATAGTCCTCTGTAATCTGTAATCTCCTCGATATAGTGAAATTGGCTCTCTCTCGCCCGTGGACTAGCTAACACAAATCGTGTTAGTGAACCACGTAAATTGTGTGTCTGTGTTTTTCTCGCTTTCGTATTCTTTCTTTATCGATTCCGGCGATTTCTCGATCCGTAGCAGCGCGTTTATAACATACAATATAGTTGAGGGTTGGTGATCATTGATTTCGTTTAACTTCCATTTGCATATGTTGTCTAGTTACATTTAATTATCCCAGCACAGATTTCCTACTGAACTAGTGGAAAGCAAATGAACAAAGTCACAATTGATGAACTTGCAGAAGCAAAAGCATAGGTGGTTCCAACTTCCAACAACAACATTCTCTCGCTCTTTCTTGTTTTGGGAAACCTTATCAGCCCGCCGGTGATGTGTTTGGGCTATGAACATACGCCATTAGGTATGCACCAATGGCATTTCACTGGAATTTAAGAAGTCCCATTCAATAGAATCATCCTTATTCCTTAGTACTTCTAGTTCTAGCCTTCTAGGTGGAGACTTAGGAAGAGAAAGCATTTACTTTTGTGGGGCTATTCGGTAGATATACAAGAAAATTTTGTGGAATGCGATTTAATCTTCTTGCTTATAAAATAAAATCTAGTTAAGAACATTACAAACATGAGCTCAGGATCTAGATAGAAAATCATCTTGATTTTTTTTTTTTGTTTTGTTAAGATTTATTTATTAACAAGATCATGTGTGTTTTACTAATAATATTTTGTAAGCCAAATATTGACGTGCTAATTGCGCCGACTGTTATCGTTTGGTTGCAATTGGTTTGATGTATTTGAAAAATGCATGATTTACATGATTTTCAGTTTGCTCGCTATCACATTGTACAATCTATTTGCAAAATTATTGTTTGTTTCATTGCATTAGTGTAAAAAATGGGCTCGAATCGATCGGGTACAAGAAGGGTGTACAAGTAACTCCATTTTCATGCCAAAGCTTCAGCTATAGAAGGAAACGGACCACAATAGCAAAGCTCAAGAATGATCAAGGGAGATAAAAACGTAAAACATAAGAGAGTAAGGCGCAGAGAAGGCATGGAAATTGTTGTCAAGAAGCTGTGTGATGACATTGGCAGGCTGTACCTTTTCAAAAAGTCATCAGCAAACAACATTGAAGCAGAGCCGCACGCAACGCAGGCGCACTCTTTGAATCTTTGGCCAACAAAGGCATGAACAACGGGATGATGTATTTTACCGTAACTGCCAATTCCCCTCCCGGCCCGTTTAATAACCATCCTCAGTTCCTCACCCATTCCACCACATGCCTGTCTTTTCTTTTCAGATCTGTCTCACTTCCCAATTTCCAACTTCCACAGCTCATTCGAGATTTTCTTCCCTTTCTCCTCATATTCTCTCTTCTCAGTTCTGAATTCCTTCACTCCCTGTTTCCGTTCTCTTATCTTCCAATCCCAAATACTTCTTCTCCTCGACCACTTCCAAACCATTACAACTTGAGCCGAACCATTCCACAACTGCATCGGTCCATTCTTCTTTTACTTTCACATCAACCTCCTTCTTCTTCTCTTCTTAATCATTGGGTTTCGCACCACGAAAGTTCTCTTCCATATTCAGTCACCTTCTTGTCTCCTCTCTGCTCCCCCACTCCCTTTCGCAATTTTCCATACAGGGGAAAGAAAAAAGAAAAAGGAGAAACAAAGTTGGAATCTTTTGATCGTAGCAACTAGCAAACCGCTTTCAGTTCCACTCTTCAGTAATACCCACTTCCCAGATCTTGATCTTCGTCCCCTTGCCTCTGCCATTCTGCAATCCAATTCCCGGAAGCCCTAAAAGCTGCTCCGTCGTCGTAAAATGAAGCACACCCATTTGGTGGAATTACTCTTAGCATCATCATTTTCGGCCGCTGTCCTGCTCATTCTCCTCGTAGTAGCCCTCCTGGTTTGCATAAGGAGAAGGGGAAGGAAACCCCAATACGACGTCGAAGTTACAGACCAGGAGAATAAGAAACAGAGTGGCGAGACGACAGGGGCAGAGGATTTGGTGAGGTTCCAAGGTGGGCAGGAGCTTACTGTCACCGACATTCTCGACGCCCCTGGAGAAGTCATCGGCAAATCCAACTATGGTACCCTTTACAAAGCCCTTCTGCAGAGGAGCAACTGCGTCAGGCTGCTTAGGTTCTTGCGGCCAGTTTGTACTGCGAAGGTTAAGGATTTTGGTTGCGTCGTTCAGTTTCTGGGTTGCATCCGGCACCCTAATTTGGTCCCTCTTTTGGGGTTCTATGCTGGCCCTAGAGGCGAGAAGCTCCTTGTTCATCCTTTCTTCAGGCGTGGCAATCTGGCTCATTTCATACGAGGTCAGCTTCTCTTTTGTTCTCTCTCTCTCTCTCTCTCTCTCTCTCTCTCTCTCTCTCTCTCTCTCTCTCTCTCTCTGCTGTTCTTCCTCTTTGGTTCTCTCTGTTTGTCTTACAACATCTCAGAAAGGTACTATTTTTATGCCCTTCTGACATCAACAGTGATGGGTTAAAATAACAGTTCCTGCCAAGTTGACTTTACCTCCTCGCATCCATAGGCTTTGCTGTCTATTTCCCTCTTCTGTTCATCAATTTCAGTGATTCTGATGGAAAATGCTTCAATCTTGCTTTGCTTTTTTTTTTTGGAAAGGAAAATGGTTCAATCTTGCTAGGTTTCGACAAATGCTTGGACCCATTACCCATATAATGGTTTGGAATAGTACTTGTCAGAAGAGGGAATTCAAGTATAATTCATTAACAGGATGGAAGGAATTGTCTGTAAAAGCTCCTGTTTGCTTTAATGCTGTTCTTTTTTCAGTTCCCTTTCAGCACCCACAGTCCCTCTCCCTTACTTTTATCTTCCAATCATGTAAACCTTCTCATTGCTTTATTTTTGGTGAAATCTTAATCCGTCATTTAATTAAGTAAAAATATGTTTCTTTCCTGATGATTGGGGGGTGGGATGTTGTTGTCTCTAATAGGATTCAGATTTCAGAGACAGTATAAGGCATTTATGATTTGTTTGATTGATTGTATTGGATTACCTGCTGGCCAGTTGGTCAAACTATAATTAAGTTGTTTCTTCCGTTTGGTGATTATCATTTTTCTTAATTTAGCTGTTGGCACCAACTTTCTTGGCTATTTTTATCTCCTTGCTTTCCCTCTAAGCAAATGGAAATCATGTTGCAGCTGCCGCTGTTGTAGTAGTTGTTTCACCTCTCGATAATAATAATAATAATGCTTTCCCTGTAATAATGCTTAATCATACTGAATCAATCGGAATTGTTTTCCTTCAGGCGGAAATGGCGAGTCTCACAAATGGACAACCATCCACAGGCTATCTATTGGTATAGCCAGAGGCTTCGACTACCTCCACACAGGACTCCAGAAGCCTGTGATTCACGGCAACCTCAAGTCGAAGAACATAGTCCTCGACCGCAGCGGGTCCCCTTGCATATCGGATTTCGGCCTGCATCTCCTCCTGAACCCTACAGCGGCGCAGGAAATGCTCGAGACATCTGCAGCCGAGGGGTACAAAGCTCCCGAGCTCATCAAAATGAAAGATGCAAGCGAAGAAACTGATATCTACAGCCTAGGAATAGTGTTGCTCGAGCTGCTCTCGGGGAAGGAGGCTGTGAATCCGAATCCAACTCAAGATGATGATTTTTACCTTCCGACATCAATGCGAAACGCAGTGCTTGATCGTAGAATCGCAGACATTTACCATCCGGACATTCTTTTAGACAGTGGGAGTGAGAGTGAGAATTCTGTCAGGGAAGAGTGCATATTCAAGTTCTTTCAGCTTGCAATGTCTTGCTGTTCCCCTTCTCCTTCTCTTAGACCCAACATCAAGCAAGTGGTGTGCAAGCTCGATGAGATGGGAAGATAACAACATCTGAAGGAGCAGAAGTTACTCGGTCTTTTGTGGGTAGGCTTGAATGAAGAAAAAGTTGAAATCTTTGGTGGCAGAAACCCAAACCCAGAGAGGCATGTAGCTTGCATGCAACATCCATGGATGACATAATCGGCTTCTAGCTAGCTTCAGTTACTAACTCGAGGTAATAATATACAGACATCCATGGGGCCATGTTCCACAAGAAAGCAGGAATTGGTGTATCGGCTTTTGTCGGGTCTTCTGGGAAATGCTTTACGTGTCGAAAAGCATCATCAGACTATACAGAAAAGAAAAGATTGGTGCTTTATCTGGTCCCAGAACGCATTTGTAGAGAACAAGGCATGCACGTTCATCAGAAAGAGCCAATCGTCAAACAGGAAGAAAAAAAAGTGTCAAGTTTTCTGTCGTCTACCTGAAGCTAACAAAACCTTGGTGGGTTGAAATAGAGACTAGACTAGATTTGGGTGATCTTGCTTGCCTGTGTAAGGGGAATGATATACTCGGGTAGCAAGTTTTGGTTGGCGGGTTTTCCTTTGTGGAAAACTTCCAAACGAAAGAGTCCAAGGGAGAGAAAACTTTGACCACAATTGCAGGGTAAGTTATTTTATTCTCTTGTCCTTTTTTTCTTATGATAGCGACACAGAAGGAATTATTACCATGTAATCGAAACAGAGTAGTAGATTTGAATGGAACAAGTGTATAGATTGATTTGATGATCCATGAACCTGCTCTGTTTCCTCTGTTTTTCTGTTGTTGCTCTCGTATCGTTCCCGCCGTCTCATCATTCGAGTCACTATTTGGCTTTGTCTATAAGCAAATAATAATGTGTCGTACTCCTACATATCCTAACAGAATGTATTATCAATAATGCATATCATGGTTTGAACATATCAACAAAGTTCATCAAGGGAGAAACTACTGAAGGAAAGGGATGTAGTATGATGAAAACTTAGGGGTGTAGGGTAGGATTATAACTCTTGGTTATTACTTTGTGCATAACCATATTTAAATACTTGGTTTTGAGTAGTGATGTTAGGGTTGGGTGTTTTTTCATACTTTTTAACCCGAATTTTGGAATTTTTTCCAGAATGTGTTTATTGTGGTCTACAAAATTATATTCATCTTTATATATTTTGAGGATGTTTTTTCTCTACTGCTCATTATCACCTACTACCGCTCTAAACAACCTTAATTTTAAACTTAAAATTTTAAAAAATTGTGCCTAAAGTAATGAGTTCATTATGATTATAAAATTTGACATATTTATGAAACAAAATTTCAGAACAAAAAATGTATCGTTCTCTACCACCCTGGTATAAGGTGGTAAATGGCGATAGACGATGGTTAAAAGGTCGTAGATTTTTTTTAATGATAGTTGGCTGATTCATTAAAAACTAAACACAATGTACAAAGATTACATTACTGAAAGGAATGACGAAAGCACCAAACGAAAACACGATTGAACCAAAAATGAAACAACAAGGCCTAAGACTTGCACGCCCAAAACCCATGTCTAAACACGTGGACAAGCCCACCCCAAGCAAACCCTATACCTGCTAGCCCTAACACACAAGTCTTGGCTTAGTAGGCGCGACGGTGGATTCCCCGTGGAACATGAGTTTGAGGGGTACGCTTGTTGTTATTAAAAATTGAAGGGGCACATGTGTGTGATGAAAATATGTAGTATCAAAAAATAATTTTTTTCATTCCCTCATTCTGTCCTTTCGATTTGAGTTTCATAGACAAATTACAATTTGATACCTAAACTTAATAGATGTTAATGCCATCATCTATGGGACCGCTTCCCGCCCACTTCCATTATCCGAAGAAACCATTCTTCTACTGTTAGTTTGACCCCTTCCCTTGGATTTAGCCATTGATCATCAATCTTTTGGAAAGGAAGGCCTGCAGTCTGCTGCAAGCCAATGGGTTCTTAAACTTAGGACAGAACGAGCAGATGGTCGGTGTCTCAATAAATGCAGGTTGGAGGATTTTTCTCGTTTCTGCCTTTATTTCCTTGACATCACGTAGATTGTATTGAAAATTTTGGCCTCTAGAACTGCGGAAATCTTGAATTCAATGTTGCCTTTCCAAACCAGTGATTAGTCGCCATCAGGAAACGGTACATTCTTTAATACTTCCGACTTGGCAGAGGCTTCATAATCAAATCAGTGGATTTGTCAGATGCCGACGCTTGGGGGAAATTAATGTCACCAAGCCCAAGCAGGACTCCTAACTGAGAGATCAATTGTATTGTTCTTCTCCTGACGACGTTTGTAATACACAATGGAAAAGTGAACAAATAGTGATATTTGAGAGGAATTTGCTTTGTATCAGTTTTGTTGGCCAGGTAATGTTTGTATGAAATGACTTTTGGGCATGTTCGACTTTACTAAAAACATTCTTGTCTACTCCTTTAATCATATTTGACAGTATAATGGTGTTATATTGCATATTTATGTTAGATTGAGTTGATTATAGATTACTTACTATCTATGATAAATTATTTTTTATTTAGTGATAACAATTTTCAAAAAGAACACATAAATATGTAGGGGAACATCTAAAAAAATGCACAATTGAAAAAATGAGGTCTTCTGTTTGTTAGACTATAAATCCATTATTTCAGTATAAACCTCGCCAAACCATTTGCTTGACGGTTATTCAGTTAACCGATATAATAACCAAGAACCGACTATACGGTTACTATTAAATAACTAATAAAAATGTTAGAGATTAACGGTAAGCACAAAATGATTAATGATTAATCGACAAACGGCTAAATGGTTCCGGTTACAATCGAAATGAACAGATTTTCATCCTTACTTTGATTGACGCAAACTCAAAATATGCAAGCAAAATCGAAGGAAATGAAATGGAGAGTGGCGGCGGTGAGGTAATGTTGTCAACCGCCATGAGGTGGTGGTTGGTTTTTCTTGGGCCTTTTCATTTTTCCTTTAGTCTTTGATGGTTAGGTATGGGTTTTCAAGTTTGAGGGCTTGATTTTGAGTTTTGGAGATGAAATGGGTGAGTAGAAGATTGAAAATGCGGGGGGAAGTTTTAGAGAAGATGATGGAAGGAGAGGGAGATCAGGTTTGGGATAGAGAAGGAAGTGATAAAATGAGTGGAAATGAGGGAAGGGGCGAAATTTGGTGCCCCTATATTGGTTCGCAGCGGTTGGACCGGGCAGGTGGCCGTCCAAGATATGACATAGAAAAAATAGGCAATTGATGCTTTTGTGTAACAACAAACTTCTCATGAGACGACTAAAACTATAGCACTACAAACAGTGTATCATGAGATCTGATTATTGTTCTCGGGTTCCTCAAGTTTTGAGCTTCCTTCTTGGCCTCTTTCCAGTCATCTTTGGCTGATGAATAGTATGCAAGTAATGTAACATTCTATTGTAGGTATAAAATCCATGTAGCAAGAAGAGGACTGTTTCGAGCAATGAAAGCTGCTTTCGTACAAGAGCGGCCTGCTATGGAGTTCAAAGATCTTCACACCATCTACTTTATTCTATCTCTTGGCAGAAACCGATGGAATGTTGTCCAAGGACGTGAACATGAAGTTCCCTGAATACATGGCTTCTTTGTCTGCCAATTGAACAAAAAAACACCCATCAATAAAAGCAAGTGAAGCTCAGAATCAAGAGGCAATTTCCATAGAAACGTTTCAATATATGGTCAGAAACATAGGGAGAGGATGACTTTTACCTGTTAATGTAAAACAACTGACTTCTCGACGGACATACCTTGTCAATGCCTATCAGTACAGAACTCAAATAGTTAGTTGCACTCTACAAGGAATGATGTCCTAAACAATGAATATATGATTTTATCCGAAAAGAAAGAAAGCTCATGATATAAACATCATCAGGAATAGCAGGTCAGGCCAGGATATCATGCCTGGACGGTGCGCGATGCAGCATCATCTGGCTGTGATTCACCATCGTCTGCAAACACATTCCTGCAGCAGGAAACTTGTTGTGAGACGTTACTAGTTACATAAGCAAGCTTCATTTTAAACTCGACGCAAAATTGAAGGCAAGCTATAAAGATGGTTGATGTGGATAATCTTGTGCTTCAAGTTCCATCAATGCTCCTAGTGGAACACAGAAGCAGGTCAACTACCATAACTGCGTACTGGTGTCAAATTCTCACCTCCATATGACTTTCGGCAGCTCATCTGGTTTAGCCTCCGGCAGTAAGGCAGCATCATAAGCAACAATATTTCCATAAAAAATTTTCTCCAACTCTTTCATCCATTTTGTCAGTAACAAGTTAACCTGCCATTGCGAAGTAAGCAAACAGAAGCAGAAAGATGCGACACTATAAAATATCTTGTAAACTAGATCCAAAAGTAATAAGTTGGGTTTAAAACAAAATGATCAAGGGTGCTTGCCATCCAGAGTACATCTTAGATATTACTGATGATCGATAATTAACCCTCAAACATGCATTTAACCAAATTACCCCTTCTTTGGATACTCTAAGCTCCACATCGTGATTGTATCTCTCATAAAGGTATTGCCCAAATTCAGCACCTTCTTTTCCTTCTTGTTTTAGACGGCGTAAGCAAAGCCACATGTGAAGTACAAGTAGTGAAAAGGTCATCTTAAAGGTCTTCTCCATATTGAAAACTGAAAAGGAAACACACCGCGAATTAATATAACAGGCATTAAATCACAAATACTTCAAACAGGCCACACTAGAATAGACAAGATCAGAAAGGAAATGCACAAATAAATCGACATTATTGAACAGCATACCATACCAAAATCTCATTGACTGAGATAGACATAACAGATTCAGCTACAGATGGAAAGCTACAATCAGCAATCAATATACGACCATTAAAGCGGATTTACCTTCATAAATAGCAGGTTTATCTACTTGATGAAGGATCCTTCGGTACACCACATTTGCTCCCCGAATAGATGTGCTTTGCTTGCTATAAAACAATAGCATCTTATAGATAACATGGCGGAGTCCCTCGTATTTTGGCTCTTCAATTCTGAGCCGGGAATCTGGAGCCAGAGCCAATGAACAGGGCTTTGACAAGAACATTTTATCCAAATTTACCTGTTTATAACAATTTGTACTTCCATTTGAAATCAACAAGATAATAACTCCAAGTCTCCAACAGTCCTTTTTAACGATACTATACACAACAGCTTACTGTTCAGTTATTGACCCACAATACAATGCAAGTTATCTCTTATTTCATAATTCACTAGTTCAAGCCCATTGCTGAGATGGAGAAAGTATGTTCTTAATCAACCTGTATTCCTCAGCTGCCATTTTGAGAGTCCTCCAATTGTGCAATAATTAAGGGGGAGCAATAGCGATTCTGTTTACATTTTTCCACTATGAATCACAGCCCTTGGAAGCACAGGAAACCAGAAAGCATTTGTTGTGGCTATATTTTGGCAAGTAAAAGGGGAACCGAATCAACTCAATCAAGTAGTACGTACCACTGATTTTACGGGAGAGCTCATAGCAGGAGAATCATTAGGAGCAGGCGCCAAAGTTGCAGCAGCCGTTGAATACCAATGCCGTGGCGTAAAGATTACATCTTTCCGCAGCGCCTCCATAGGAGAAGTCGACCCAAGCTTCGAGAGTCGAGAAACCGCTCTGCTGCATCGCTGTAACATTGAGAAAGTTGCTATCCTGCTTCAAAACTCTGATCCGCCGCGGACCTCCAACGGAGAGTCGCAGTAGAAAGTAACACCTGAGCAGGAACCGCAATTCGGAGAGAGGGGAATGAAGAGAAGATTTGCGGATTGCGGACGGATTCACCCGTATACGGATGAAGAGAAGAGGTCAGAGGGTTTTTTGCTCAGACTCAAGTAAAGTAACCAACCGGGCAGCGCGTGAATCTGGCGGATCTTTTTTCCAAAATAGTAGAGTTGGTAACAAAGTTTTCAACCCGCTGGTCGACTGACCCACTTTCATCCTGGTAAGAAAAATGGATCGCACGTACTCGCTGAGTCGATCGCTACAAGATATCAGGTTGGAGGTCAAATTGTGTTATTTTTTTCTTTGATTCGCGAAATGCGACTATTTTCCGATTTTTCTTGTTGCCTAACTCAATCGTTGGAATCCTTAGTTGAACATTTGAATATTGATGTTATATAAGTGTGTGAAGTTTCACTATATTTTTTATGCAAGTACGACATGTTACTTTGGGGTAATGTTATTTGTTATTACTTATATGTTAGATGCGATTTGATAGAATTTATCACGATAAATACAATATAATGACTATTTCCATATTTCCGGGCTAAAACGGGTGACCCGTTAACCCTTGACCGCGGGTTGACAACAGCGTGGTATGGTTAAACCTAGTTTAATCGCTATTGATTAAAACCACGTGAACATTACTGGGTTGATCGGTAGTGAATTTCATTAATAAAAATTAATTTATTATTTATTTTATGAGTTAAAGTTAAATGTTCAATGTATTCGTTGGATTCAAGTATAAACATTTGGCTATTGATGACAAAAGTTGTATTTAAATACGAGTATTTTTAATTTTATAAGGAAAGTCACATTTTATTTAAATATCAATATAATTATATGTAAATTATCTTCAAATATATTTTATATATGATTAAATTGATTTATTGTTAATGGGTTTTCTATGGATGTTAGTTTGAATAGGATTGCTATGCTTAATGCTTTTGAGTTGGGTGGCAACGGATAACGGGTATTTGGATATACTCATATCCGTCCCTTTTTTTAGGGTTACGCATACCTAAATATTTTTTTTATGAGATAAGACTTGGGATCAATATGTTCTACAATGAGTACTCACGAGTCACCCGTTAATACTCGTTTGGATATTACAGATACTCATACTACCCGCCAAAAATCTCCAAGATAATTAGATGTATGGAATGATGTCTTAATTATCTAGGCCAAGGTTAATGCTAATGTGATTCATGGATATTTAGACCTGTCGACAAGTTGTACATATTGTTCCTGTTGAAAACTTTCTAAAGCAGGACAACATTTTGTAAGTGTTTATCATCTACTTTCCTAGACTCATTGATTCTCTTATCTCTTTAGCTCAGTTGCGTCCATAAGTAGATGTATGAGCTTGGCAGATGTAAATGGAGTTTAGTTCACCATTCTCTTGTCGGGAGTTCATAGACCTTATACAATTTGATTAAAAAATTAAATTGTGTCTGCTTGATTGCATCAATTGCTACTCTGTAGGCGAGGACATGACATTTAAAGACGCCTGAACTGATTTAGTTTGGATGATTAATGTTCTTTCCCCATCGAAGCACAAAGATAACTAAATTAAGTTCGAATGATTCAGATATTTTTCCTCAATTATAGGTTACCCGCAGGTACCCGTTATCCGTCCCGTACAAGTTAATGGGTACCCGTTAATCTATGGGTTTGGGACATGCGATGGAATTTCCTCTCCACATGAGATTGTGTATCCATTTCAAACGGGACGGGATTTATAGGTTACCCGCAGGTACCCGTTATCCGTCCCGTACAAGTAAATGGGTACCCGTTAATCTATGGGTTTGGGACATGCGATGGAATTTCCTCTCCACATGAGATTGTGTATCCATTTCAAACGGGACGGATACCCAGTCCCGTCCCGTTGCCCACGCCTACTTTTTGAATTGTTGCAGTTGAACAAATTTCAAATAGAGCTGCTTTGGATTTGTATTGAATGTTAGTTTGGTTGATTGTTTATATTCCTTTTTCATTTTCATTCACTGAAGTTGCTTTGATTTTAGATAGAGTTGCTGCATTTTCATTTTCATTCTTAGAGGCAGTGGCGGATTCAGAAATTTTGCATAGAAGTGTCCCTTCCAAAAATTGAATTTAAATAAAAATTAAAATTTTTAAAATAATTTTCAAATAAGAAAATATCTAGCTAAAGTTATAACAAAAGTATACGACGTGTTTCGTGTTATGAAAAATGGTAAAATATTTATTTGGTGTCTACAATGCTTAACAAATTTTTCTCGATATATCCTACTAGTAAAAGGGTAGTTCGTGATCGGATTTAATCGTTAGGTTTTGAAAATAATTGGGGATAGAAATAACCTTTTACAATTATATTTGGATATAAAACATAACAACAAATGAGTTATAGTCTAATTGAAAATATATTTACTAATAGTAGAAGTGTCACAAGTTCAAATCACATAGACTGCCACTTAAATATTGTTTCTACCCATATGCAAATTGCAAACTACTACAGGAGGTTGAATAATCTTTGTCCCAAAATTTAAGGATGTCCTCTACCATTTAAATATTTTTTTTACCCATACGCAAACTGCTATCGGAGGTTGGATAATCGTTTTTCCAAATTTTAGGAGTGTCCCACCATGTATCCGCTAATGCTTAGAGGGATTTATTATTATTATTATTATTAATATGTTATGAATGGGTCGGTTGTGGGTTGTGGGTAAACCCGTTACCTGAGGTCAGGCGGGTGACAACGAGGTTTGCCTCCCCGATTGCTACTGTTTTGCGAGGTTTATCCAATCCGAGAGAACTGACAGGCGGGATTTGGATACGGGTAACCGCTCTTGATTCGCCTGTTGCCAACTATAAGTCGCAAAAACCGAACGACACCAAATTAGAAAGTATTAAATATCAACTTTCTTTTTTAAATAATATATAAGAACGGATTGACCTATCCCTCCCTCTCTTTACCCGCACAAATGTTCGACGTTGGCCTTAGCCAATGGCTTCGTTACGATGTAATGGGTATTGTTAGGCCAGGCATTGAGCCACAAGGCCCATAGGCCCAAAAGCATTCAAGGCCCAAAGCAGGGGCAGGCAAGGCCCGAATAAAAGAACCCAATCAGAGGCGGTCCGGCACATCCAATGAGGACGAGACCGCCCGACAATGCAGAAAGGGTACAGACAAAAGACCGCCCGACAATCTGGCTTTAGTGTACGGAGTCTGACGAAGGGCAACGGAAAAGCCAGAGGCGTCCTAAACCGCCCGACACGACATTTAATGCGCATAACCCAGTCGAAACTAGTATAAATACCCCTCATAGGGTCACATTGATGGTAACTTCAACCAACTCCATTCTCTCTCTTATTTACTCACACTTCACTTCTATCTCTAACTTAAGCTTCGGAGGAGGTCCCAGGAACCCCCTGAGGACCTTTCTGCAGGGTTTCGAAGACCGCCCTCAACCATCGAAGCCGCCCAAGGCAGTGGAGTCTCACAAACCGCTTGGAACATTCCAAGCACAAACATTTTGGCGCCCACCGTGGGGCCCTACTACTTTGTGGCGAACGAGATGGGAGGCGACTTCGAAACCCCCCTCAAGGGGATGACCGAAAACAACACCCTCCGAGGTTTATCACCGAGGATCGAAGATGAACCCGAGCTGGAAGAAGTGGTCAAGAGTCAAGGGAAGCAAATCGCGAGCATGCAAGACAGCCTTTCCCAAATTCTTCAGCTCCTGAAGACCCGAGACGACCCCGCCGAAGGGTCGAAGGGGAAGACGCGCGACGAAAGGCTGAAGGGCGCCCTCATCCTCGACAGCCCTACTCGGACAGAAGGCGGAGGACAAGAGGCCGATGACGCGGATCTTAACTTTCTGGAGGAGCATTTGCAGTCAACATTCGGGAAGCACAAGAGCCCGAACGTTCTACAAAACCCTCTTTTGAGAGAACTCTTCAAGACTCCGGTCCCCCCAACTTCTCCTCTCTAGGACTACCTACCTACGGCGGGACATCCGACCCCGCCGACCATCTTTGCGCGTTTATGTTAAAAATGCAACTCATCAACGCAACAGACTCGGATCTGTGTCGTTCGTTCCCAGTTACCTTCAGCGGTCAGTGCCGGACATGGTACACCTCCCTCCCGGAAGGGATTATAGAAAACTTTGAGCAGTTTGCGATGCTTTTCTCCACCAAATTCGCGTCTCAACGGCGTCACAAACTCACCGTCTCGGCGCTCATAAGTTGCCGACAGAGGAAGGAAGAGTCGCTTGCCGAGTTCTACGACCGATGGAACGCGATAGCTTGCGAAATAGATGGCATCTCCCCAGTCGTGGCCGCTGGGAACCTCCGAATCTCGACGACCAGTCTCGAGCTGAAAAGAACATTGATAAAAAAAGAGGCGACCCTGACGGCCTGGTCCGACTTAGACCAATTGGTACGCCGAGCGATCTTGCTAGAGGAAGCGCTAGCCAATGACGACCGATGCCAGCAAGGCCGCCCCCGCGGAGACGCCTCAGAGCGTGGAGACTCCCGGAAGGGAAGGCGGTCCCCCGACCGAAGATCGTACCGAAACAGGTACCCTGACCGAGAAGGGAGAAGAGAGGTCCTTTCCAGCGACAGGGAAAGGGGCAGAGATCGGAGGAAAAGCGGAAGGAAGTACGAGGCGCCTTCCGCCTAAGAACCGCAGGAAGGAAAGAAGTGGTGCGACTGGCACCAAATCACAACCCATGACACCACAGAGTGTAGAGAGTTCAAGGCCACGCTTCGACATCTGGCCCCGGGCGACCTAAGAAGCAAGCTAGAGATGAGGCGGTCTCATAGAGAGCACTCAGCAGAAGAGCGGGAGGAGTCCCCGAGTCCTGAGCAGGACAAGACAAGACGTACAAGAAAGGAGAGGTCAAGATCCCGCTCTCGAAACAAAGTCACTTCCCCGTTGAGGCAGTCTCCTCCCTACAGAGCACCCCGGAATGACGATGATGGAATGGAAGTTATAACGATCGCAGGAGGGCGAAAGCGCCCAAGAACCAAAGGGGACCACATCGCTCAATGCCTCAACGTGCAACGCAGAGCACCGACAGAGGTCGCCTTCTTGCCCTCTGAGTTGGCCAACGAAGAAAACTCGGAGGACCCCTTGGTCATTTCCTTTCGAACCGCTAAGTTCAAAGTCACCAGAGCCTTGGTCGACAATGGGAGCTCGGCGGATATACTATTCT